ACAGGGACGTACAGCTTACAGTCGCTTAGGCAAATCTGTCACACAGGAAGGGATTTCCAAACTGGATGTATAAATCCGGGAGTTAGAGCTGACAAGGGAAACTTTAACAGGGAGTGCAATTGTTCAGAAACAAAGAAGCTGCAGTGTGTGGGCTGATTGACAGCAAGTGGATGAAGGGTCCAAGAGCCCCACAGTGACAGAGGAAGCAGCATTATAGCTCCTAGAGGGTGGGCAGCTTCCAGGCAGAGAGAGTGTGCGATAAGATTGACTGAAGCGGATTTCTCCAGGGCATCTGACAGTGGTGGGTGTTGGCCTTGCCATGAGTGATTATGAGTTCAGACAGCGGTGGCTTGAGCTGGTAAACTGAGGCGGGGGAAGTGGGGAGAGCAGGTGTGGGTTTAGAAGAGAAGTGGGGTTGGGGCTGTAGCAGCAGACAGAAAACAGTGGGTGCAGCTACTGTGACCCCACGATCAGGAGCTGTGGATGACGAAGAACGAAGCCCATAGACTCCAGGGCTGAGCGCGTCAGCCACCTCTGTTGAAGTTAATTGTAAGTGAAAGGGAACGAGAAACTCCCAAAGCAGGAGGGGGCTCCAAGTGAGAAGGCCATTCAAGTGGAAAGGGAACAATAGTGGGAATGCTGATTTGTCTTTTGGTGCACAAGATGAAGTGCCTTCCCCCCCCCCTCCCCTCGCCGCTACTGGAGCTCCATTATGAGCTAGTGTAATCACTCAAAGACTATTGAGCAGAGGCGCCTTGATCCATAGAGCACCTTAAACAGGGGCCTCTCATCCGTGGAACAGTTTTCCAGATGACTGGGGTCAGAATCACACTGGGGCCAGCCCCCAAGTGCCCAACCTCCCTTCTGTCATTCCATCTTCTTCTTTGGGACCCACACAAAGGGAAGTTCTGAAGTATTTGATCTGTCTGTCTGTCTGTCCGTCCATCCATCGGTCTGTCCGTCTGTTCATCCATCCATCGGTCTGTCTGTCTGTTGGTCCATCCATCCATCCATCCATCCATCCACTCATTTTCGAGATAGACTCTTGTTATCTAGCCCAGATTGATCTTGCCCTCACAATTCTCCTGCTGCAGCATTTTGAACACTGGGATTACAGGTGTGCACACCATGTCCAGTTCTACTTGCTTTTTTTTTTAAAAAAAGATTTATCTATTTTATGTGTATGAATATTTTGCCTGAATATATGCATGTACAGCATGTGTATGCCTTCAGAAGACAAAAGAGAGCATTGGGTCCTCTGGAACTGGAGTTGTAGATGGATGTGAGCTGCCATGTGGGTGCTGGGAACAAAACCTGGGTCCTCTGCAAGAGCAATAAGTGTTCTTAACCATGAAGCCAGTTCTCCAGCTCCTGTCCTTGCTTTTAAGTGCTGTAAACTAGAGCACATCATAGGATATGAGGAGACATTAGAGAAGGAGAGATGGAAAGATATAGCATGAAAAGCGATGGAGAGTGATTCTGGGCAGGGAGAACACAGGCCCGACCTGGACTGGATGGAGGAAGGACTGAAGACACAATGCCTAGTAATGTCCTCTGAGGTCACACGGATATGGAGTCTAGTGCAGGGCTGGTGTGGTCTGGGGTGCCCATGATGCGCGCTGGCACCTGGGGAAGTGTGTGAGCGTGTCAGTGAGAGAGCTTCATTTTCCGCTGAGTCACGTTATGGCATGGGGCACGATATTTCCACGCTTTTCGCACCCCTGGGACCTGGCTTCTGCTCCGATGGTCTTCCCTCGTCCACAGTCTTCTTAGTGCTACCTCTGTTGCAAGCTTCTTCAGAAGGGGGGAGGGGGCATCTACCACACCCAAGAGGGATGATGTCACACGTGAGGCATGTGTGTGCCTGGAAACTCAGGCCCTTGTCGTCTTCAAAGGGGACCAGGAGCAAGGCACACAGACCTGCCTGTCTCACCTCGCAACTTTCAGATGCCTTTCTCTGATACTGAAGGCCTCAGGGGGAAGAGAGAAGGAAAGAAAGAGGTGATCGAGCAAAGCCACTTCCGCTCATGTTAGTATTTAGCTCGCAACTACATTTACCTTTACAAAGGTTCTTTGTTTCTAAAAGTTATGTGGGTGTGTGTTTTACCTGCATGTATATCTATGTACACATACATGTGTACAGTGGCCTCGGAGACCAGAAGAGGTTGTCAGATCCTCTGAAACTGGAGTTACATAGACTTATGAACCACCATGTGGGTTCGGGGACCCTGGTTCCCTTAACTGCTGAGCATCTTGACATCCCCTTACTTATACTTTTAAGTCGGGTTCCAATCTGGCCTTAGGAGCCTGTCCTTTCCACCCTGCCTTGACCCCTATTTCCCTCTCCCCTCCTTATCTGATGTTTCTGTCATTCTAAGCAGTGGAGGACTTACTGAATTTGAATTGTTTACTTAGCAGGCTTGTTCTAGAGGAAACACATTAGTAAGTACTTAAGGGAAAACTTGTGGGGGGGGGGACATCAGAGGCCAGGTGAGACATGGCTGGGAGAAAAGGAGAGACCTCAAAGGGGCTGAGCCAAAGTGGCTCTGAGAGGACAGAGGGACAGAGCCAGGAGATGCCTGGACAAATTGAGTTGATGGGAGGGATGGGGGTGGGAAGGACATGGGACACTACTACAACACAGGGTAGTGAAATGGACTTGGTCCGAGGGTTCCTTTCCTAATAAGCACTCTGGTGATAATCACGTGTTCTAGGACTCCCAAGCAAGGCAGGAAGTTGTGGACATCAACAAGTGATAAGAAGCAGTCAAAACTAGAACTCTTAATCCCTCAGAATCTGCAGCATCAAGAGCTGTCAGATGGGAATGCCCTGACTCTGCAAGGTGCAGGGGTTAGGCCAACGGAGGGTTAGTGCCGTTGATGATAATTTGATGTCCACTGCTATCACATAATGTCTGGGGATCTGGCCTATGCTCCTGTGCTCTCGGGTGTGCACTGAACTAATAACATGGGAGTGGGCTGAGGACATGACAACCCGTCCCTCGTGTGCATCACTGAGTAATTAGGAAGGCGTTATGAAACCACTCACAGACCTGATGTGACGTCGCTATGAGTAAGATGCCATCCCTGCCCCCGAGCTCCCAGGTGATGTGAACAGAGACACACGATTAACAACAGTGGTTGAAGGTTGGTCCAACCAGGCCAAAAAGGAGGTGGAAACTCAGTCCATGAAAGACAAGATGAGAGGGCAATTAAGTTTAACACATCTTCTTGTATGGCTGTTTTGTTTCCTTTTCCAACTATTTTTTTTTTTAATTTTTGGGGTGATGATGCTGTGTTTCCTTTTGTAGTTCCTATGGTATTTAGGGCAAGTGTTCAATATACTACAGGTGCCCAGTAATTGTTGGTTTATATTCATTTTAATACACAGAAAGTTTAGAACATCCCCTGTATGAGTGAAGTGATTGCCTTTTTATTGTTGGTAGGTGAATGAAATGAACTGTCTTTCTCTCAGATCACCTGCCCTTAATTTTCCCAGCCCCCAAGGTGTGTAAACGCTGATTCACATGAGTTGCAGAATGGTCAATGACTCTTAAAAAACCTTCCACTTCATCAGGAATCGTGAACTTCATTCCTAGCTTCAGTTGTGAATGACGCGCAGTACAAATAAGACACTTCTCAACATTAACAGGCTCGCAAACAAGCGGAACCCTTATAAACTGTAAAAGGAAGAAGGTCCATCCAATTGTGTTGATATTATTTGTCAGCTGTGCTGAGGATGCACCAACACTTTGACCAGCATGTTCAACCTCTATGAATTTGCTGAGTGGAGAGAGTGACTCAGGAGGAAGATGATTATAGCCCTCCCCACAACAGCGAAGACAGAATGCAGACCGGTCAGGGACTATGTGGGCAAGAGCTTGAGGCCATTTGTAAGAGTGTGGTCTGCAAGTATTTGAAAAGTTCAAGGTGATGTGAACAGATGTGATAAAAGAAGACAGCACAGAAAGCTGCCTGGGGTTCTGGGCTGTTCTTTACTCCTCCTTTGGCCGTGGGTTCCTGAAACTGCTTTGTTTCGGTGTTCTTGTAAAACGGAGACTTGGGTCTCTCTCTCTCCCTTGCGGTGTTGCTCTGAGGGTCGGTGGAATTTTGTACAGCACTGAGCTCTGTCTCACTGGCGGCAGATATGCTTTGTTCTGAGCGTCGTTCTCCATTTCTCTGCAGAGGGCAGAGAGCGGGACATAAAAATACCTGCACAGTTAGAGGTCAGAGGCAATCAGCAAGGCCTTAGGGTGCCATCTCTTACTGGTGGTTGCTGGAATTATTTTGATTTTCTCTTTTGAGCTCTCTCTCTTGTTACTAATTTTTTTGTTTGTTTGTTTTTTGAGACAGGCTTTCTCTGTAGCTTTGGAGCCTGTCCTGGAACTCAACCTGTAGACCAGGCCAGCCTTGAACTCATAGAGATCCACCTGTCTCTGCCTCCTGAGTGCTGGGATTAAAGGCGTGCGCCACCACTGCCTGGTCCATATTTTACAATCAATATGTATAATATACCAAGAAAACAAAGTATTTAGAAAAGAAATAGTCCTTAGGGTTAAGAAAACGGCTGAGGGTTATGTTAGGTACTTGTGAAAGAGCAACGCCCTCGATTTGATGTCCAATTCTGCAAGGGAAAAAAAAAACATTTCAAAATAAAGAAAGAATTAGAGAGATAAATTTCTTATTTGTGTGTGTTGGAATTATGGGGCCATCTGTGCAATTTTGCTTTACAGTTCTGCCGAGTCTGAGAGGGAAAGTGGCTTGTCTAAGGAGCAGGTTTTAAACGTGATTCTTGAGCTGGTGTTTCATTCTCCCCCCCAGCGGTTTGTCTCTGAGGATGTGGGGCTGCAGAGGTGGGGTTCCACAGTCTCAGGTCCCTGCAGGCACATCCCTTCCTGCCTCTCCCAGGAAGTGACTTGTGCCTCCTTCCCGCCTCCAGGCAGGACAGTGCTAGATAAAATTCATAGCTGCAGTCTCTACAGGTTTGAGCGAATTACCTCTCCAATGTCTATTTTTAAAAAATTCATTAAGTGGGGACAGAAGTGTCACTGAGAAATGTTTGTGTTGTTCCTAGGCCAGCCCTTTGTCCTGGTGCCAGACCCACCTGCTCACCTGATGTGGGCATCCTACGCGGGTGACCCACTCCGTGCGTCGACAAACGCAGCTACTAACTTCCTTTCCAAACCTGTTTCTCCTCCTGCATTCTGCTGTGGACATGCCAGCTGTGGAATGCAGGAGGCCGTCTCCACCCTCCACCTTCTAAGATCCCTGGGAGCAGTGAGTAAGTCTTGCAGGTGTTGGCTCCTGAAACCTCTTTGGGTTCCCCCACAGCACTTTATGTGGTGTTTAGTGTTTTCAGTGTTTGGTACTTCTTGCTCAATTTACATAAGAGTGTTGCCTAACTAGTCCCTCTGCCTTTAGTCCCTTTTCGTCTCCCACTCAGACTAAGAAGAGAGCCTCTTCTAAGGCAAAGCTGACAGGGCAGGCCCTGGGAGTCCCGCAGCCCCACATGGTCTACAGAACAATCTGGATACTGGATGGAGTCAACAGGTCCCTCCATCAGCTAGCTCTTGCTAGCATCTCCCATCTGCCAGAGATCTTTTCCTCATGCCTACCCTTCAGCTTTCGGTTCAAATATCTCCCTAGAGCTCTTTCGAAATAGGGAAGTTAAATGGTAATTCACAGTGTGTTTCGCCAAGCGTTAGAGAGCAGGGTGTCTGCTTGTGACTTAAACTGTAATTTTGTCTTCAGGTCAGCTCCTTCAGCTTCTTATCCACAAGCATCTCGGTCTCTCTAAGAACAGAGAAAGCAGAGTCATGTTTTATGGCAGAAAATAAGGTATGGGAACTATATTTTGATATAATCACTGAGTCATCATGGGGAAAGATTGGCTTTCTCACTCTCGTTGTGAGAGTCAGAGTTTGCTTGTATTAGTGAGTGGCTCCAAGTATGATGTCATTCTCATCTGCCTTAGCTGATGTTTGCCTTAAGGAAAGCCATCACCGGTGTTCTGCGTGGAGGCTGTGTATGGCTGTTTCCTGGTGTAAGATGGGGGTAAAGAGGAACTCTGCTGATGTTATCAAATTTGAGACAGGTTGAACCCTGCCCTGCTTCCTCCAGAGGCATAAGCTTAGATGCTAAATTCTGCCTTTGCTCTAACAGAAAGCGGCAACCAAATAACCTACCAAAAACCAACAGAAGAATGTTGTGGTTCTTAAAGGTGTAGATGCAATGACCGACCCCTTCGTTTCCACGGTCAAAACAACAGAACTCCTAGGATTTGACTTCTCGGCTCCTCGTGTGTCAGGCTGCTGCAAAAGAAGCTGCAGACGGGGCCTAGAGCTGGGAAGGCCTCAGCACACTGTAGGCTGGATTGGTGTTCACTGTTGGAGATTCTGATTGGAAGGGGTGCCAGCCTCGGAACTCAACAGTTTGCCCAGAGATTCGGTTCCTGGTTCCATGTTGGCTAGAGCCTAGAGGGGTGGTTATAGGGTGTGTTAAGCAAGAGGTGAAGGGCCAGGGAACAGTCAGGTGGTAAGGAAGTACTTGTGTTTTCATAATTCTCCTCCAGTCTGGTTTCAAGTTCCAAAAAACAGTGGTGCAGGGACCTCAGATTCTACTGCCTGAGATATTCCCAGTTTCCCTTTGACCCACCAGCTCAGCTCCAGTGGTATGTTCTTGAACCTTGCCCCAGGACCTGGGTCTATACCAAAGCCCCCTTTCCCCCCAGTTTCCTGGACAAGTATGCCTTGCTTTTTATTGTTTTCTGGCACTCAACTTTAAGTATAGTAGGTCCTCAATAGATATTGAGAAACAAATAAATGACCAGGCCCTTGGGTGGAGCAACAGCCATTTATTCGCCATTCTCTCATTCAGTCCTTCCCAGTTTTAATGAGCACAAGACTTTCCATATGGCTAGTAGATAAGGTGGGAGAAAACGGAAGCATCAGTGCCTTCCTCAAGGAAGTGATGACTATATCTTTGTATGTGTTCATCTCCTTATCTCGTATACCTTAATTTCAGAATAGCATGAACGTAGACACACAATAGAATAGCATGAACACAGACGCACAATACACAGCATCCACTTCATTGTCAGATTTGGAAGGGGACAGGGCTTGAGTTTCTTGTTTCCTGCTTTGGTCACAAGGCCAGGAGAGGAAAATAACACCCAAAGCATCAACAACCATCAAACAAACAACAAAACCCACCAAATCCACTAGATGTGATAGAGAAAGCCAGGCGGGATATGGTGTCTCCAGAGGGTTGTGGAAGCACCGGACACTACAGAGATTCAAGGTTTCCAACCAGAACTTCCTAATAGTCATCATGGGAGATACACTCTCTGTGAAGAGATATTACAGGAACAGTCATACCAGGGTCCTTTGCTGCCGTTCTCCCCATTACCACAAGTCTGGTTTGGTCCTGTGGCAGGGTTCTTCACTTGTATCAGGCTTAACTGTTTTGAATTTGTGATTTTGGAATTTAAAAACATTTAACTTTGACTCACATGTATTAATTGTGCATATTAGTGAGGTCCAGTGGGATTGTCCAACTCATGCACGTATTGATTAAACCTGAAATTCAGTTTCCCTTCGTCTTGTAAGACCCCTGTTCCCAAACTCTCGAAATCATGATTCCACATCATGTGACTACTTGATATTTTCTTTTTTAGTGAATGTTTGTAGCCTAGGGTGGCCTCAAAATCTTCACCCACCAGCCTCAGCATGCTGAGTGCTCGGTTTACAGGTGTGTACCTGGCACCTAGCTAGATTTGTAACTTCCGTGTATGAGAGAGATCATGTGGTATTCATCTTATGGGCTTCGCACAATGCCTCTCAGTTCTATTCATTTTGCTAAACAAATAAACAAACAAACAAAAAAAAACCAGGATTCCATTGTTTACAGCTGAATGATTGGCTAAGCGTCAGGTCTCATGTCCCCTAGGTGCTACTGCTACTGTGGGATGGAGAATAAGGAGTTAAGAAGGGACATGCTAAGACAGGCCTGTCACCAGCAGTCCCATCAACACAGACTCTTTCTCTGTCTCCCCACCTCGTTCTGACAGTGTGCGACACTGTTCCTTGCGGTTAGTTAGCCACATGGCCCTTCTCTAGGTTCCTCCCAGCTCAAGGTCTCCTCACATGGAGTTCTTAGAAGTTCTTCCCTCAGCTTCTCGATTGAAGGCTTCTCAGTTTTCAGGTCTCTGGTTCGATGTCACTTCCTCCCAGGAGCGACTGTAGCACTCCAGAGCTTTCTTAATTTTTGGAACGAACGAAGACTTTAATTCTTGGAAACCCTGTGCCTTGTTTAAAGCCAATGTCCTTCACCCTAGTGAATAAAAGCTTTGGATGCTCTCTGCCGTACGATGTTGTAGTTTGGCTTCCTGTTCTATGGGGCACAGACCTTGTTTTTTTTTTATTCCACTCAGATACTAAACACTGGACTTCTGTGAGTTATCTCTGTCTTTAAAATGTGACTAATTCATACGAGCCAGAGGACCAGCAAACCTGCTGCCAGCCAGCACACAGATACGGACGGGAGACATTTCACTAGGCCCTACCCCTAGATGAAGAGCTGTGGGCAGTAAATGCCTACATAGAGAGGGAGATGAGCCCCCTGATAGGTTATCCAGCTCCAAGTGGTCAGCCTTAAACACGTGTACATCCAAACAATAGGAAATACACTCAGTGGCTTATATATACACGCATGCGCGCACACATACACGTACACATATGCGTGTATATGAATAGCAATACTAAAAGAAAGTCATGAATGGAGAAGAACAGAAGGAAAATGATGTAAAAACAGTATTCATGTATGAAATTGTAAAAATATTTAATTTATGTGGCTTATTTTTACTTTTGTTTGCGGCATATATTTTTGAACAAGCGTCTTAATTCCCATATCATCCCATTTCTAAACTTTTGTCTTATGGTCAGTATTGAGCTTTATATTTTTCCCCCTTCATTGTGATTTTAAAAGGCATTTTTTTCCTTCTTTACATTTTTATGTACATAGGGTCTGTGTAGCCCGGGATGACTCTGAGGTTTCCCTACCCACCACTAGGTTTATAGGAACACATTGTGGAACCTGGTTTATGTGGTGCCAGGAGTGGGATTCAGGGCTTGCTCACTGGTTAAGCCCTTTATACCTGAGTTATACCCAAGCCTCCTCTCCCATTTCCTTTTAAAATTTAGAAATTTCCCTTTCCAGTTAGGTCTTGCACTTACTAAGAGATTAATTTTGGGGATTGGCACCCGTGGGAGAGAAGGCTCTAACACTGTCTTCTCTGGGTAACCAATTAGATGAACAACATTTACTTAAGAGGTCATTTTGTCCTTCCTGATTGCTAAGGACAGAGATAGGGCCTGGAGAGGGCTGTTTGCATAGGACAGGAGGCCATCTCTGGTGAAGGGACAAGAGAGTAGAGCCCTTGATGAGGTGAGGGAATTCATGCAGCTTCGGAGGCTATTTCCTCCAAGACCAGCGTCAAATACCCTGACATGGAGCTGAGCCCCAATGGGCTAGTGAGGTGTGGGAGTGCTCACCCTAAACCAGATCATGAGGGAATTGGAGGGCTTAGTGTATTAGTTACTTTTGCCTAGCTGTGACCAAAGACCCCAGCAAAACTGTAAAGTGGGAGTCATTTATTTATTACTCACGGTTTCAGTCTGCCATGGCAGGAGGACCCGGCAGAATAGCTCACATCACAGCAGACAGGGTTCAGGGCAGAGCGGTCAGAGGAAGGGGCCAAGAGCCCCCAAAGACGTGTCCTTGGTGACCGCCTTCTAACAGCCAAGCCCCACCTTCCAGTTTCACTGGCTCCTAAATCCATTCACAGTTTAAATTTATCAGTGGATTAAACCGTTCCTTGGGTCAGAGCCTTTTAACTTAATAATTTTTTTTCTTCTTCCAAAATCAAATTAAAAAAATCTTCCTGTTTTATTCACGGCTACTAAGCCAGCAGGGAAAACTTGCTTAAGGCTGATCCTTTAAAGAGGGACCTCACAGAAAAGGAGTTCGCTTCAGGCAGGCCATAGGGACTGGTACTGCACGGGGGCAGACAATCCTGGTTGACAACAGGACTGTATTTTGCCCTTTGCCCCCGGTTGCCCGTCATATCTCCAGAGGGAACGAATGCACTCCCTGCCCCCCCGCCGTGCGCCCCTGCCACAATCTTGATACATCGTGCAGCTGCAACCTCAAGATTGGTTCTTCAGTGTCTGCACATTGGAGGAAATGTTTACCGTCCCCCTCCCCTCCCCGCCCCACTGAGAACTCTGGGCCCAATTCTACCACCTCCAGCAGATGTTATACCCCACCCCCCCAACTATTCCAGGAAGAGGCTGATGTTTGCCCAGTCAACAGCTTCAAAGGCCCTTAATCTGAGAGATAGGGCCATGCCCCACCTCCCGCGCTCCCAGTAGAAATGGGCCATGGGGACCAGGCACACGTGTTCCTGGTCCTCTGAGTGGGTGGGCTCAGCCAATGGTAGCTGCTCCAGCAGTGAGCTGTGTGTGCCGCTCGAAAGTACTCTTGCGTGACAGAGTTGAGTCTTCATGACTCAAACATCCTCAACACGCTTGGGTATGTTTGCAGGCTGCCTCCTAGAATTCGTTTCCTCTGGGTTGGCTCCTGGTCCAACTGCTGATGCGCTCAGCTGTTACACGCAGTAGGAGGATTCTTCATGTGTTTTGTAGGACTAAATTTGTAGGCTTAAATTTATTTATTCCTTTTTAGATTTATTTATTTTGTGCGTATCAATGTTTTGCCTGCCTGTTCCGGTATGCACCACACGCATGCCTGGTGCGCACGGAGGTCAGAAGAGGGTGTTAGCTCCCTAGAACTGCGGCCTCACGCCGGTGGTTTTAAGCTACCATGCGGGTGCTGGGAACTGAACTTGAGTCCACGGCAAGGGCAGCCAGTGCTGCTAACTGCTGAGCTAACTCCCTATGGGTTCCTTTGGAGAGGAAGACTTGTAGACTTTTTGCCTTTCTTTTCCTGTATGTTCAACTTTACCTGTTTGGAGGTTTTGAGGTTTCTTGGAACTGCAGTCCTAGGCACAGGCCTTCCGATGATTAATGACTGAGACAATGGGAGCCCACTGTGGACAGCTTGGCTCGGGTCCTGGGAAGGACGCTTTGCCCTCTTCCTCACCGGGCTTCTCAGGGAAGTCTAACCCCAGGCGCATTTGGCCCTTGTTTTGTTCACCCAGTTGAATGCGGTAGCGGTGGAGGTAACCCCACCCAGAGTTGACAGTAAGGACTTCAGTGCCCTGCTTTTGTTTGCTTGAGACAAGGTCTGGCTGGCCTGGAACTTAAGAGTAATCCTCCTGCCTCTGTGTCCTGAGTGCTGGGATTACAGGTGTGCCCACCCACTGGGCACCAGTGGCGAGCTTGGAGATCCTTTCTGTTCCATGTCATTCCAGTTGTGAAAACTGGGCCCACAGACACTGCTGTCCCGGGTTCAGAGCTGAAGGTCAGCCACTCCACAGCATCAGCCAGTCCTGTTCACGGCTTTGCTTCTCCTTACAGAGCCAAAAATCTATTTTGTTCGTTTTCTGTATGCATGTGTTTGCACGAACATGTGGTGGCCAGAGGTCAACCTGGTTTCTCCTCAGGTGGCATCCACCTTGGTTTTGTGAGATAAGGTCTCTTTATTTGCTGATCAGGTTAGACTGGTGTGACCAGTGAGCCCCAGGGACCCACCTCTCCCAACCCACCTCCCCAGTGCTGTCTGACATTAGGGACCTGAACTCTTTCTTGCATTTCAACCACTTTGCTGATCAAGTTTTCTTCCCAACCCTTTAACTAACTGCTTCTTTTAACCTGCTTCCTTCCTTCCTTCCTTCCTTCCTTCCTTCCTTCCTTCCTTTCCCCCCTCCCTTATTTATTTATCTATCTAACATTTCACCCACATTTGCAATGTGTTTAGACTGTGATAACAACCGGATAAGCTCTTAATTCACCGTGGGTAGTAGTCTTCTGGCTGAGATTGGCCACAGGCCTTTCAGCTAGGTTTGTAAAGCTCCCATGACTATGGATTCTTTCGGAGCAGTTGTGCTCCCTGGTGGCAGGTGATAGTATAGTCTGTGAAGACCCTTGCCAGAGAGCCCAAGGTCACTTCTGTGGCTTCTCCCAGGTGGGAGGAACTCAGAGGTCCTGAGAAGAACCTCCACAAGCCGGCCACTGCACTCTCACATCCTGTACTAGTTATGTGTGCTTAAGTGTGTGACTACCTGACAGAACCATTTAGAAAGAGGAAGGATTTATTTTGCCTCGGGGCTTCAAAGGGTTTATGGAGAGGGAGGGTGCTGCAGGTGGCCTAACCGAGTTGTTTGCTCCTCGGCCATCAGGAAGCAGAGCAAGGGGAATGCCTGTGCAGCCTGCTCAGTTCTGTTCCTCCTTTCGTTCTTCTCAGGCCTCCAGCTCTTGAGATGGTGCCACCCACATTTAAGGGACATTCCCTCCTCAGTTAACTGCTCTCTGGATCTGCCTTCACGGGCACACCCAGGGGTGTGCATCCCTCATATCCTAATCCAAGTCTATCCAATTTGATCACAATGATTGTTTTTCCCAGGTCCCTGCTATCCCATGCCCAAGTGATGGCCTGGGCCAGCCTGGTTAGCTCTCAGCCCAACAATTCCTGTATTGAGCAGACAAGTTGCTCCTTGTATCTCTTGGCTATAGGTCTACCTCTGTCCACAGAAGCAGTTGTAGGTACCAGTGACCCTTCCCTATGTCCTCTCAGTGGTTTGAAGACAGACTTCTCTTCTCCGGGATTTCTCTTTCTTTTCTTTAAAATGCATCTGCATTTTATTTGTGTTTGTGTGGTATGTATGATGTGTGTGTGTGTATGATGTGTGTGTGATATATATGTGTGTGATATATATGATGTGTGTGATATGCATGATGTATATGATGTGTGTGATATGTATACGATGTGTGATATGTATGATGCATATGACATGTGATTATATGTATGTGTGTATGATGTATATGATGTGTGTGATATGTATGATGTGTATGGTGTGTGCGTATGTAGTGTGTATGGTGTGTGATATGTATGATGTGTCTATATGATGTGTGTGATGTGTGTGTATGGTGTGGTGTATATATGTGGCGTGTATGATGTGCACATGTATGGCATGTGTGTGATGTGGTGTATATGGCATGTGTGTATGGTATATATGTGTATATGGTATGTATGTGGTGTGTATGATGTGTGTATGTATATGTGATATGTATGATGTGTGTATATATGGTATGTATGTGTGTGTGTATGGTATGCATGTGATGTGTATGATGTATGTGTGTGTGTGTTTGTGTTTATTCTCATACATGGCACACCTCACTGGTCAAAAGACAGCTTTCAGGTGTCAGTTCTCTCCTGCCTTGCTGTGGCAGCGTGTCTCTTGTTGCTTCCTTCTCTGTGTACTCTAGGCTAGCTGGCCCATGAGATACCAGGAGATTCTCCTGTCTCCACCTTCAATCTCGGCTAAGGAGTGATAGAATTCCAGATCTGAGTCACCATGCTGGGCTGTGGGATTGAGGTTCAAACTCTGGTCATCAGGTCTTTTACCCACCGAGCCAGCAAAGGATTCCTCTTTTATTCCTCCACCCCCACGACACCGTCCATTCCTGTGGCCTGGCTCTGTGAACTCAGGGTTATCACGTGAATCTTGTGAAACTTGACCTTGCCGCAAAGGAACCTGTTCTGGTCCAGAGAGAATGCTTGTCACTCTAAAAGAGAAAGCAGCCCCTCCCCCACAAGCCTCCCCACCAAAAAGCCTCTTGTTGGCCGTGTTGACTTGCCAGGTCCTCTCAACACTTGCTCTAAGAGACAGCGCTCCCATTGCACAGGGGAGGAGACCTTCAAAGTCGGGCAAGGTTAATCAGGAATTAGAGACCAGTAGCCTGTCTCTGATGGACACCAGCCCTCCAAACCACTTGCATTTTACACACTGAACCAAATTTATTAAAAATTCACCAACTTGGGGCTGGGGAAACTGCTAATCAGTCAGGAGCCCACACAGCTCCTAACTGAACTTGGAGAGGACTTGGCTTCTAACTCCTGTTCCAGGGGCTCTGATGCCCTCTCCTGGATTCCTCAGACACGGCACCCACCCACCACACACAGAGAATTAAATCGTAAAAATAAATCTTACAAACATTATTGAGTTGAAGGAGCATCTTTCCCCGAGTTCCCTATATATCTCTCAACATTTTCTTGATTCGCATAAGACTTAATTACACAGTGAGCTCCATTGCCAAGTGAGCAGCACTAGGCCACACCCATTTGGAAAGCAGATTTGTTACCCGGTAGGTTACTGATGCAAGCCATCACTGTTTCCTCAGATGGCACCATTTGTGCCCAGCGCCTATTATGGAGTCATGGATACAGATGTACTCTGTAGCCTCATTGCAGAAACATTGAACAGTGTGATGCAGAGAAATGGGAACAATTTGACAAGTACTAATGGAAGTTTATTTAAATACACATGGAAAAAATTGCACCTCAGGTCTCTAGGCAACTGAGAGGACACCAAGGCTGGTGTATTTTGACAAGCGTTATAATGGTAAATATGTATAATGTGTTACAATAAATAGGACGTCTGGGGCTCCATACTGAGGAGTTAGAGGATGGTGCGTGAGGGGAAAAAGCTTGGATTATTCTGCGTGTCACTCCTGGACAGATGTGTTAGAAAAAGCCTATTCCCTCTGGGCATGATCCCTTTGTAACCCAGAGAGCAATGTGGCACGCTGAGTGTGGGCTGACTGCTAGCCCTCACACCTAAGCCTTTCTCAGTGCCTCTGTACGATGCCCCGACTGCCCAGTGCTTATGGCGACCATGAGCGGAGCTTGTTCGTCAATGAACGATCTCGCCGTGTGGAGGTGA